TTTTCCTCGATTTCCTGCAACATTCCGTGGAATACTGGTGCCAAAATTGTCCAGAATTCTTTGTAGAATTCTGCAGGGAAGCTGCAGAATTCTGTTCTTAATCCGCCTACTGCTGCTCCCCATGTGGCATCGAAAGCAACATGTGAAAACGTAATGAAATTCTTCATTAATAGGACTGTGGATATCAGGTCTCATATTGTCCCTCCTGCTACCGACCCATCTGTTCACACACCAGCTTCAGTTGCATTTGACCATTTTGAGACTGTGTCCTTTTCATTACTGAGTGAAGTGGTCAACAACTTGAAACTCACAAGATGTACTTTGGATATTGTTCCATCCAATTTACAGAAAGATGTGTTTGAAACTGTGGGTACGAGTTTGCTTTCTATTGTCAATAGCAGTCTTCAGTCTGGGTGTGTCCTTGCTGACTTCAAACATGCTGTGGTGGAACCTATTCTTAAAAAGCCAAACCTGGATCCAGCAGTTTTATCCAACTACAGACCAATTTCTTTCTAAAGTCCTGGAGAAAGTTGTCTTCTGTCAGCTTTCTAGATGAATAAATTGGTGAAGTATTCCCGTCTGGTTTCAAAGTGCACCACAGCACTAAAACTGCTCTTTTAAAAGTTTTTAATGACCTTTTAACTTTTACTGACTGGGGAGAATTTGCCATGTTAATACTATTAGACCTCAGTGCTGCCTTTGATATCGTAGATCAGGGGTCACCAACTCCAGTCCTTGGGGCCGGTGTCCTGCATGTTTTAGATCTCACCCAGGGTCAACACACCTGAATCCAATGATTAGTTCATTACTAGGCCTCTGGAGAACTTCTGGACATGTTGAGGAGGTAATTCATACATTTAATTCAGCTGTGTTGGATCAAGGACACATCTAAAACCTGCAGGACACCGGCCCTCCAGGCCTGGAGTTGGTGACCCCTGCTGTAGATCATAGGATTTGAATGGTTTAAATCCTACCTGTCCAACCAAAGCTTTTCTGTTAGACTGGGGGATACATCATGCCTCACTTTCTTGTGGGGTCCCTCAGGGGTCCATTCTTGATCCAGTTCTCTTTTCTATTTACATGCTCCCCATGGGTTGAATTTATAAAAAAAAAAACATGGCATCTCATTCCACGGACGGGCACAAGCATAAATCTCTGATCTTCTACAGCCCTATGTCCTTAGCAGGTCCCTGAGATCATCTGATCAGGGCTTACTTGCTATAAAACAGACTGAGATGAGAACTAATGGTCATACAGCTTTTGCCACTGTGGCCCCGAGACTGTGGAACTGTCTCCCTAAACCTTAAGAACTGTGGACTCAGAAGTTGTTTTTTAAAAACAACTCAAAACTCGCCTTTTTAAAACTGCTTTTGGTCATTTTTTGCCTGTTTTATATTGTCTGTTAAACTTTTTTATGACTTCTTATCTTATGTGCAGCACTTTGTGTTTCTATAGCACCTTTCTAGACAGAATCACAATGTTATTGTTATTATTATTGTTGTTAGTATTATTATTATTAAGTTTCTTCATGCACCTACCAAAGTTCACTGAACCAGTCACAAAAGAGGACAACAAATATACTTATAATAATATCAGTATACTACTGATATTATGATAGTATACTAATAATATAAGTCCTTAATATATTTGGGGTTCGATGAACATTAACATGGAATCAGATTTATGCGTGCCATTTTTCTGTGTTTTGGCCAATAGTTGTTGTAGCTCATTTCACAGCTGGTTTATTTAACCTTTTCTTTGGTGTGTGGGGAGACGTTGACGCTGAGTTTAAAACAGTCTTGGGTTTGCAGGGGATGACCTTACAGCTTTGTGGAAGAAATCCGTGGTGCTGCTACATTTTGCGGCAATAATTTTCTTGGCATGTTTTTGGAATAATTTTGTTCGACATCCTTCTTGTGAAATCCAAAAGAAACTCCTGCTATCAGCTTCTACTTCTCTATCTTTTGTATATAAACACGCATGCTAGCACGGTGTGCCAAGTAGAAAGTTTTCTCATTGGGGCGAATTAGGGACGCATTCGCAGCATGTGGAAGAACCCCCTCCCCCCACATACATTTGCAGAGAGCTTAATATTTCCATGGTGTCACGGTTCTGGGTCCGTTGGACCCAGTATTTTGAGGTTATTGTGTTTTGATTTAAGTTTGCATCAGGGATTGTGTTCTTGTTCTCTTGTCGGGTTATGGTAATGTTTATGGTGATGATTATGATTTCTATTATTAGAGTTCCATGTTTCTGTTTATCTGGGTTTAAGATGCA